TATTGTCCACCTATGCGGATCTGTTGGTGCAAGGTTTTTATGACTGTATGCCCTTACTGACGTCAACCAAACATTTTATGTGGGAAGTTGGCACCCAAGGCTGACAGGTACTACACCTTGCCCACGGGTGACCTGGAGGTAGTTGTGGCAAAGGGTAACCCCATTCTCCCAAGTCCATAGACTCCACAACCGGATGTAGTTAAACTCTTACCCAGGACAAATATATACATATTTAAATAACCGTACGTTGCCTTTATCAGGTAATACCTCACATGTGAGGTTGAGTTGGTGCAAGGTTTTTATGACCGTATGCCCTTACTGACGTCAACCAAACTTATTATGTGGAAAGTTGGCACCCAAAGCTGACAGGTACTACACCTTGCCCAAGGGTGACATGGAGGTAGCTGTGGCAAAGGGTAACCTCATTCTCCCAAGTACAAAAACTCCACAACCGGATGCAGTTTTAACGTCATGCCCAGGACTTTGACAAGTTGACAAACAGAAATGTGAAAACGACTTCTGAACCATAACAGTTTTCACAAATGGATTTGTAATTTTCCATTTTCCAAGGAACAAAGAGCGTCATTTGTGGTCCAAATGTATTCGAAACTGTCCTCCTGTTTTACAAGTTTGAAGTACTGGTACTCAGATTTAATTCTGCTGGTGATGCGAGTTTTGAAAATTTCCAACGGATCCACAAAAGCACTTCCTTCCCGTTTATTCCGCCGGGAGATATGGATAGCTACTTTTGTAGTGATAAGGATAAAAAAGAAAATACTCTCACATTGACGAGAGAGAAAACAACGTGAGTGGTGAGGTGGCAAAATGACAAACCACCAAAGAGGAACCGTCAAACCAGGTTGTAAAAATTCAGTAGAAATGCGCGAAATGAAGCGACAGAGGGCGCCAATCGCCGGACATTCAATGAAAATGTGAATGAGCGAATCCAGATCACCACAAAGTGGACAGTTTTCAGAATCGGCAAAATTTGCCCCAATATGGTGTTGAATGTAATATAGTAAATGATGATTGTAGTTTTATGTTGTAGTCTCCCAGATCCGTGACATCAATGATTGTATTGTTGACGTAACCATAATACCATCTTTAATGCCATGGTTACATCTTAGCATGGGGGTAAGTCACGAAGTGTTTGAATCCTATCAGAAACTGTATGATTAAAAGGACACAGTTGTTATTATGCGTTATATACGCAAGATGTAATTTTGTATCTATTAATTCATTGTTGTAGTATAAATTGATAACAGCCCAAAGGTAGGTTTTATAGCCCAGTAGGTAGCCGCATTTGACACTACACTTACAGAAAGTACCTAGTATATGACCTCGAAATCACACTTGGACAATACTTGACTGTGTGATGAATGAATAGGTGTCGCGAACCAATTAGCGATTGACACAATTAGCTGTGTGATGGCATGGTATTTAAAAACTGTGACAGCGTGTTGATGGGTGC